TAGAAGCAGACACTTACTTCAAGAGAGAGCCAACAATTCCTCCCTCCAAGATGGCTGGCCCGAAGCCGTGAAGACAGCAACACCCACTGACTCAGCAATTTCACTTACAGTGCCCACTGACTCAGCAATTTCATGGCTGGAGACTCACCCTGAGGAGATGCTCTGCAGAAGGACCAGGCCGTACGCCTGAAAATGCTCTTTGTGGCATTGCTCGAAATAGCCCAGACAGGGAACCACCCAGCTAGCCTGCAGTAAGGAAGCATCAACCACAATGAAGAGTATGCACCTACTAAAAGCCACATGTGCAGGCCACGGAGACACTTGACATTGATGATACAACAGAGGGAAACAGAGCAGCCCAGGTCAGTTAGGTCCTTTGTTTACCCACTGCAGGGGACCGGCAGACAGGAGAAGGGCTGGGTTGGAGCAGTGTTATATTATTCTGAGGGACTTGTTCTCTGAAATCGCTTAAACAATCACTGTTTACTGTGGCCTGGGTCAGCTCTGAGGTGGGAGGGTGGGGGGAGGGGCAGAGAATAGGAATGTATTTCTTGTTCATCTCCAGCTTCAAACCCAATGTCTGTTTCCCCCAATATCCTTCAATTCTGTCAGAGCGTCTCGTTCCAACAAAAAACCCAGTTAATGAAAGAAGGAACTGAAAGGAGGCACCCCCCTCCTTCTGGGACACGGATGCCACTCCAGGTGTCAAAACCACCTCCAGCTACTTCACATACACATTAGAAGAACCAAATGAATTATGGCAGTGACATCTTGGTCTTATAGCGTCTTAGTCTCCTCTGCAGCAAAAACAGTTTTTAAAAAAACCCATGTTTTTGTTTTTTAAAGGGGAGGGGGGTGAGTGGAGTTAGGACTTGTTACTAATCTTGTGGCCGAATAATTAAGTGCGCCTAATTCTGAAAGCAGCGAGCTAAATTATGCAGTGCCAAACTCAACAACTCTCGTACCTACACCATCTCGTCTCCACCGGCATGATTTTTAGCTTTGCAGCTCAGAAACTCTGCCAGGAAACCTAATAAAAGGAAGCAAAAATATTTCTGTTTCGACCAAGCTGCCATTTGAGAAAGACTTTTAAATATGTTCTTCTGTATGTGTAAATCTGACAGCAGATGCATAATGAAAGCCCCAAGGGAGAGCTTCCTTTTAATCTGCTCAAAGAAAACCAATAAAGCATCCTTTAAGATGTGAGATGATGGATTAATACTCTTTGGACTGTTCTGAATTTCTCCAAGCCAGAGTGTTGCTGCTAAGAACACAGTTGGGAACTAGTGAAGTGAGAGCCACGGTCCTCTTCCTTGGTTCACCTGACGCCAGATGACACAGATAATGATGTACCAAAGGCCACACTTGCATCTGTCTAGAGTGCTGTTGCTTTGGGTGTTTGTTAAATGGAAGAAAGCAGAAGCAAACATGTTCTCATTAAAATAAACTTAATCCCACCCTCCCCTAGGGAATATGTCACAGAGAGTAAAGGGGAGAAGTAGTAATTACCCAGGGTTTCAGATCTGTGTGAGCAACGAGGATGAATAATTTAGGGTACAAAGTGGACTTTTTAAATATCTTGCTCGAGCTACTCAGACTTTTTATACATCCTCAACTACCGCTGAATAATTGCAGGCACATTTCCCCGTGGGGTCTGTGCTGTGTGAAGACGTGTGTGTTTGCACAGTTGCAAAGTGCCCAGCTCAGGATACGGGGCCCTGTTCAGGTCAAATGTTAGGACAAATATTCCCTCTCACTGTGATGTTCCATCTGACCTTGAACACACATGGCCAGATCGAACCTCCCTTTCTGCTGCTACTACTGAAGACCAATTCCCGTCCTTTCTGTTACCTCCCCTGAATACATGCTCTCGAGAGTGAGGGTTCTTAGACCACACTTCTCCAGAACGTCCCCTGCTTGCTAGGGCCTGTTTCTGATTTTCTGTAGTTTGTATTGGCCCTTGCCTGCCTAAGGCCTACAGCTGCTTCTAACTCATCTGCCTGGAACATCTGTGCGACCCTTCAAGTTTTTTTCTGTATTTAATCAGTTGCTGGCCTGACTAGCAAACTAGTCCTTCCTTGCCTTAGTATCAGATTTATGCATGCATACAGGCAGACAGATAGACACACACACACACACTCACACACACACACACACACACAGATACACATTATTAATATTTCAGTCTCACATAAGGATAGTCCCACTGCTCTATGTATGAAATTACTGTAATATACATCACACAAATTCAGCTCTGGATTGAGGTGAATCCCTCATAACTGTGTGACCTTGTATAAATCTCCTAACACTATACCACACAGACTCCTTTTTGTTCTGGTCGTCTTTAGTGAGATGGATCAGACATGCTGCATCTCAGCTGCCCCTGTTGAGATATGCTCAAACCCCTGGCATGTAGAGCAAAAGTTAATCTTTCAAAACAGAGCACTGGGCCTTGCACACAAAACACTTCACAGTTACAAAATGAATGAAGGGATGTCTACACCAAAACTATATGGATCGTTCAGCTGAACCAAATAAACAACAAAGGAAATGCTCCATCTCATTAGGTGGGATACAGAGTTGGACCCCTGAATTCCACACTGTCCCATGAACCACACACCCTGTGAGGATTTTTGATCAAGTAAAACCCAGAACATGATAGTTTTCCTCTTCCCTGGATGAGGCGGCGGACTGGAGATCCTCCACTCTGCATTTATGGCTGAGCTTCGGTTCCCTGTGTGATTGCATCCGTAACTGCATCAGTAATCATAACAAACGGACATTTGAAGGGGAGGGGATAGACAAGCAGAACATAAGCCGACATATGTAGATCTTCATGGAAATCTCAACAAATACATTTTTCACAGAGAAGGCTGAAAGGATAATCATGCTGGTTGGGCACTCAGCAGAACTTACTTGGCTGACATAAAAGAACCAATTTAAACCACTATCCCCAAGTGTCGTGGCAGACAGGCAGGCAGGCAGGCAGCTGGCAGAGACCACTCATATGGCAGTTTTGTTATCCCTGCAGAGGGTCAGTTCCACCCCGAGCCGTCCACAGGCTGGTACTAATGTTGCCCTGCAGATTTTGGAAGCAACTTGCTAGGCCATTCATAACCCACCCACAGTCTTTGGTGTAGCTCATCTGCACTGCCTGCCTAAATCTAAAAGAGAGAGCATAGTTCCTTTCCATTTGACTAAAGAGCAGCCAATCCTGACGGTAGGAAAAGGTTGAGGTAGGGAACAATTTCCAAACAAGCTGACTTGGTTTTGTGCATTAAGTTGAGGGGGAAGCCCCCGAAAGAAGGACAGTGATGCTCAGAAGAGACACACAGTGAGCACAGGTCACAGGGGCAGGCTCTTCGGATGGATTCCCAGCCTGGAGGGGAAGAGGACGCTGGGCAACAACTTCTGCTTATCTTGCAGCTCCCTTAGGAAGCTAGAGCATGTCACTGGGAGAAAGGTACTGTGACAAAATACATTCACAGGTGTACCTTCAGGTAGAAGAAGCAACAGGGAGTGTTTACAAGACAAGTGCATGTCAACAATGAATTATAAACACATGATGTCATCCTCCAAGATTAAGCATCCTTAGTACTTTTAAAGCACTTTAAAAAAAACCTCTAGTTGCTATAGCAACTCGATGCAGCTCTTAAAAGGGGATTTTGAGGGGGTCATTTTATATCTTCAATCACCATAACAACATGATACATATTTTTAAAGGGTTTTTTAAAAATATCTAATTTGTGTAGACTTTGGACTTGGTCCATATTTGTCTTTTCTATTTAAAATAATCAGATCAAGCATGACACGGGAGAAAAATGATTGGAGGCAAGGAAGTACTTTCACAGACTACAGAGAGAGAGAGAGAGAGAGAGAGAGAGAGAGAGAGAGAGAGAGATCTCCCTCTGTGCATATCTTGAACAAACCTGCTACCTCTCTCCGCCTAGGCAGCGTAGGCAGGTGGTCCATGCCCCATAGTCTGAACTGTCACAAAGAAAAGGTGTTCATAGGAAGTTTCTCACTTTTCCACCCTGAAAGTACAGCCTCTTCCTCCCAAATTTCACTAGCGGAAAAGGATGTCTTGGGGTGATTAGTGTGACCAGCAAGTGCTTCTCCTACCCTGAGACTCAAAAACGAGTGGGTGAGACACAACCAAGTCTTGTCAAAGTAGGTTTCTTCTGCACTCTGCAGAGCTAAATAAATGGGGGAGGGTGACTGTTTTACATGATGCCAAACGCCTGGGAAAAGGAGTGGGTGGAAGGGGCTGGACACAGTGGTGGCTGGAGACCGTCTCTCCAGAAGGAGCACCAGGGGACTGAATCTAGCTGGGGAGGGGAGCTGGGGTCTCAAGACTGCACATTTTCCCCAAGGTTAAGAAAACCTGAGCTGTTTATACCAAAAGTATAATGTAAAGGCGACTATCGCCTGGCTGTCATTGGTTGGTCAAGAGGTCAAGAACTTGGAGAAGATGGAAGGGGAACAACCAAGGCGAATGGCATAAAACAGTTGAGCGGAAGAGGTGGATTGCAAATAACGGACTTTACTTTGAGGGGGTGGGGCAGTGTCGACAGGAGAAGAGAATGCGCGGAGGAAATTCAAACGCTGGGAACGGACGGAGAAAAGGCTTTTATATTCACCTGCTGAGGATACCGAGGCCTGGGTGGGGTGGGAAATAGCAGCCCTCAACACATGTTCTCTCACCAACCCTCTTACAGAGGACAAAACCGAGGAGCAGAGCCTGGATATGGAGCGCTCAAAGTGCTTGGCGCCTCGCTGACACACAAGTCAAATGTGATGGCAGCCGATAAGAGCTAGAGATGGTCCATTCGGGCCACCTCTCGCTCCGAAGGCAGGAAAGAAAAGTAAGAGGACCAGAGGACGGAGAACGAGACAGAAGTAGGCAAAGGGTGTCAGGAAGAGGGCCCAGCCTGGGATCGGTGGAAAGGGCAGCGAGTGACAGGCGCGCAGAGGAAAGACGCGCGGGGGGCGCCGCTCACCTATGGTCGACACCACGGTGCCCACGAAGTAGAAGGCTCCGGGGAAGTCCCAGCGCGGTCGCAGGGCGTCGGCGCGGACCCCGGCGGCCAGCGCGGCCTCGTAGTGCCGGAGGAAGGCGCGCAGCTCCGGCTCCGCCACGCCGTGCGCCGCGCTGAAGTTGCGCAGCGTGGCGCCCCAGCGCGCCCGCGCCTCCGCCTCGCCCGGGCTCTCGAGCGCGGAGAAGACGGTGGCTCCCGCCACCAGGTAGAGGCCGATGAGCGCGGCCAGCAGCACGAAGCGCCCGGTGTCCTCGTTGAGGTGCGAGCGGCGGCAGCAGCAGCAGCAGCAGGAGGGACGCGGCAGGCGGCGGCGGCAGCGGCGGGGCGGGGGCCGGGGGCTGCGGGAGGACATGGTCCGCAGCTCAGCCCCGGGGCTGGGGCGGCGCTCGGAGCCGGGGCCGTGACATCCCCACCGCAGGAGCAGGAGCGTGAGGATGGTGGCCAGAGGTCTGGGGCCGCCGCGGAGCCCCTCTGCAGCCTCCCCGGAACCGGGACGGCAGGGAGCCTCCGTCTCCTGCCCGGGTTTCAGGCCACACACCGTGGGTCGTGCGGCCCAGCGGGCACCCGGGCTGGAGCGCTTCTCCCGGCTCCCCGACGCCTTACTGCCTCCCGCGGCTCGTCACTTGCTGCCCTCGGGCTCCGGGCTCCCAAGCTAGGCCAGCGCCGCCCGGTGGCCGGAGTCCACCGGGCCCCGGGCCGCATACTCCTCTCCGGACAGGCCGTGGGGTTGCAAACCGGTTGAGCCGTGGGGTCCGGACGCCTAGGATCGGAATACGGTGGCAGGGCACAGAGAGAGTCCTCTGGGGCGTCCCATGAGGCTGCCGGGGCTCGGTGGCGCCTAGGCGCAGGCTGGGCGGGCGGTCCTGCTCCACCGCTGATACTGAGCTGGTGGTGTCGGCTTCGGAGCCTCAGAGCCGAGCCGAGTCCTCCGGGGAAGCGGTTCTTTCCCTTCCCTGCTACCGCCGGAGAGCTACCCAGCGCGGAAAGGCGGAGTCACCGGAGCACGGGGCGGGGTGTTGGGGAGGGGTGAGTAAGGAAGGGAGGAAGGGGTGGAGAGTTGGGCTGCTGCGACGCCTCCGGGTCGTTCTGGCGGCACCAGCGCGTCCCATCGGAGCAGGTGTCCCACTGCGGTGCTTGGCTGCCAGCGCGCTAGACAACCGCGTCCTTCCTTCCCTGCGCTTGGGCTCCGGAGTCTCTTCCTTTCTCAAGCCACTGGGAAACTTTACTCAACTTGGTGCTTTGAGGTCTCTGGGGCTGGGGGCCATCGGGAGCCAAACCCGACTTCCGATTCTCGGGCTCCAGCCTGAAGTTTAAGTTCCCTTTGCTCACTCTGTTGTTCCTGGATCCAACCGCAGCGCCAGGACTCCGGCGGAGTCCTCTCGGGGAAGAGACACGGCTTGGGAACCAAGGACAGGCTCCGGGCGCGGCGGGAACCAGGGCGTCTGCTCCCCCTCCCGACCGAGCGGCCGGTCGGCGTCAGCACCGCGGACAGCGCATCGGTGCGGCAGACCGGGGTGGGAGGCTCTAGGCTGCGGGGACCCGCCACCCGGAGCGAGGTTGCTCACCCAGCACCGCGGTGCTCCCCAGACCCTTCTTGTTTCCCCCTTCTACCTCCAGATTGTCCCCTACTCCACCCTGACGCAGGTGCGGTGGCCAAAACAGCGTGTCGCCAGGGTGCGGACGCTGCGGAATAGAGTCAGGAGGAGGAGTCACGCGCAGGTGGGGGACTTGGGGCCACCAGAGCAGGAGGATCCTAGGCCCAGCACTGCTGGGCTTCTCTGCTACCCCAGCTCACCCGCCCGAGGGACGAGAGACTGGATACACCCCGGGTGTGGTGGAGGGTGAGGAGGGTAGAAGCTCGCTAGGAGAAACAGTGTGCTTTGGAACGCCCTACGGAAGCCTCCTCCGCCCTATACCGGTGGGTGTATATATAGTGGGTGATGCGCGCAGCCGCTGGTCCTTCTCTGCCAGGCAGAACCCAGTTTGGCTGGGGTCATAAAGTTGTGCAGTGAGGAACGCCCTCGGTATAGACAGATAATCCCGTCCTCTCTGGGTAGCCATCTCCCCCCTTCCCCTCCTTCTCTCTTTTATTGGCCGCGAGGAAGATCCTACTAATGATATGATATAGATAACAGGGAAGAGCATGCTGATGATGACTTCTTAGACACTCCAGGTGGCTGAGAGAACTCTGGCAAAATGCTGAGCTGTCTCCATCCCGCCCCCAGCCCAGGGCCAAGGTTTGCTAGCCTCCACCGCAGGAAAACACCACCATCTACTCAGAGGGGTACTTGCAGTGTGGTGGTACTTATTGTGAACCAACCACGCAGTGAATATTTCACGGCTATAAATCTGGGGTCCCCCACCCCCCACCCAAGTGTAGAGGCACAGGCTGGCACTGGAGGCGGGAGAGGTGTGGAATGCTGAGTGACACCTGTCTTGGGATGTAAATGGTGACTAACCAGGGGTAATGGAGGCTTGCATCTTAGAGGCGCTGCTCCAGTGTATGGGTAGAGGGGACCGTGCCCCTCTAGGTATGCACAGATGGGGAGAGATCCACTCCACTATGGCCTCCAGGCTTGGACGGCTAGTTGTGGTTTAAGGAGGAGAACAGCTTATCCACTGAGAACCCTGAGTACACTGATTCACAGTGGGAGCTTTATCCAGTCGCCAGCCATCACCACCGCAAACTACTGTTATTGTCAGCTGTTCCCTTCCCAAGCCTTTGCCTCAGCTGACTGTTGCCCCAGTCAGCCTCTGCAGACAGTAAGAATGGCCTAGCCACGGACCTCTGAAAGGTGTGATTTCAGGAGATGTCCACGGAGCCTCCAGATGCAGCTGAGAGACACTGCCAGGCCTCACCTGGCTTTGCCAGACTCCCAGAGCAGGGTGTGTTTGACTGCAGCGTTCTGTGCCTCTGGGTCCAACTCCTTGCCTAGCTGGCAGAGGGCCCACCCTGTCCTCCAACCTGTGATTCTAGCTTGATTAGCAGAAAACCCTTGGCATCAACTTCAGTGCCAAGAGGCAAATCTGTTTATGTAATAGAGAAATGATGAGTTCTCTGCTCATAGATGTGGGTCCTTTAGGGAACCAGCCCCATGATGAATGTGGCCTTTGCCCACTAAATCAATATCTAAGGCACTGATTGTGCCAGCTGGCTATCCTAATGCTTTTACCTCAGCCCAGAATTGTCGCAACAGTCCTGAGGATAGGGCTTGCTGAGGCAAAATTTCCCCACCTAGGTCCATCCTAACTGCCAGCCACTGCTGTCATCCTGCCCATTCAGCCTAGTCATGTGACGGATGTCTCCAAACCTCACTCTCCAATGGCTTTCTAACCCTATACAAAATTGGTGTTTAAGTCTTTGAGTTTGTGGTTCAGCGCCTTTATCATGTGATTTCCAGAGTTGGTGATGGGGGTGGGGGGGGTCTCATCCCAGCTTTGCCTTCTACCTCTTACTCCTTAAGCACCCCACTTCCGACCCACTCCCTAGGCCACTGATCATGATGTGGGCCCCTGTTCTCAGCTTTCCAAATATAGAATCAGCTTCGATTCCCTTTTCTTTTAAAATTTTGATTTGATGTTTGTGTGCGTGTGTAAACACGTGCGAGTACACACTACTGTATGTGGATGAGGTCAGAAGACAACTTAGGGAGTTGATTCTCTCCTTCCACCAAGTCGGCTCTGAAGAATGAACTCAGGTCATCAGGTTTGGTACCAAGTGCCCTTCCCTACTCACTGAGCCATCTTGTCAACCCTAATTTTCTTTTTCTCACAAAACTTTTCCTTTGTAGGAAATTCTGACCCATGACTTTGATGCTGGCATTTCAACCCCAACCTTCTTGTATCTACCATGTACTCAGGAACTTCAGACAGGACAAATGAACAGACATAGCCCTCCTTCCTTCCTCCTCTTCCTTTTTCCTTCCTTCCCTTTTCTTTAGTAAAGGGAAACACAATGCTGGAGTGCTAGCTAAGAAAGCCAGGTAACACCAGATTCAAACTCAACCAGCACTTCCATGCATAGGAATACATCCAAAGGGGTTAGGGATTTAGCTCAGTGGTAGAGCGCTTGCCTAGCAAGCGCAAGGCCCTGAGTTCGGTCCCCAGCTCCAGAAAAAAGAAAGAAAGAAAGAAAGAAAGGAATACAGCCAAGATACATAGAATTGGGTATCTACTGCACTCAGAAATACTGACTGTCATAGCAGTAACACATGGGAACTGTTAGGTCAGCTAATATATGAGAAAATAAAACATAGTATGTCTATACAACAGAATGTTCAGCAGCAAGTAGAGTGAAGTACTGATATGGGCAATAAACATATAATAATCCTAAAAGAATTGTGTTTATAAGGAAAACAGTATCACAAAAGATCACATATTATGAATTCCAATTTTATGAAATGTCCATAATGAGTAAACCCACAAAGATAGAAGCAGCTCAGTGGTCACTTTGGGGTTAAGGATTGTAGTGGTTTGAAGAAAATGGCCCTCATAGGCTCTAGGGAGTGGCACTATTAGGAGGTGTGGCCGTGTTGGAGGATGTGTGTCACTGGGGGCAGGCTTTGAGGTCTCAGATGCTTAAGCCAGGCCCAGTGTGGCATTGTCTTTCTGCTGCCCGCCCATCTGAGTGTAGAGCTCTCAGTCCTTCTCCAGCACCCACCATGTCTGCCTGCACACACTGTGCTTCTCATCATGCTGACAATGGACTAAACTCTGAAACTGTAAGCCAGCCCCAGTTAAATACTTTGTTTTATAAGAATCGTCATGGTCATGGCGTCTCTTCACAGCAATGGAAACCCTGAGACAGGGGCGGATGGGAATGACAATGGATAACTGAGTTTCTGTCTGAGGGTGGTGAAAATATTCTAAAGCTGATTGTGGTGATGATGGTATGATTCCGTTAAGAGACTAAAAAACATCCAGTTATGTATTGTAAATCCGGAATTGTACACTATGTGAACTAAAGCTCAGTAGACCTGTTTAAGAAGCACAAGGGTAATGGATTTGACAAGTTTGTATTCAAAAAATAGAAGTAGAGCCAGGCATGGTGACCCATTTTTACAATCACAGCACTGCAGAGGGTGAAGCAAGATGGTTATGAGTTTCAGACACATGCCTCCTTCCCAGGAAAATAATATCATCCTTTCTTCCTTCCTTCCTTCCTTCCTTCCTTCCTTCCTTCCTTCCTTCCTTCCTTCCTTCCTTCCTTCACTATGTAGACCAAGCTGGTCTACAACTCACAGAGCTCTACCTGCTTCTGTCTCCTGGGTGCCAGAAGTAAAGATGTACACATCCATGCCCAATGAAAAATAATTTATTAAAAAAATAAAATAAGTAGTTTTGGGGGGCTGGTGTGGCGCAGTTGGTTGAGTGCTTGCCTTCTGGGTTTGATCCAAACACCACATAAAACCCTAGTGACAGCACATGTCTGTAATCCCAACAGAGGCAGGGGATCAGATGTTCAAAATACATAGTGCATCTGCAGCCAGCTTGGGCTACACATGACTCTCTCTCAAAAACAACGAAAAGGTGGAAAATTTGAACCAGTTTAGCTGTAAAGAGAAAAATGGTTATAAAATTCAATTTGAACAAAGGAATTTGTTCCAGACAATACTCTCTTTTAGAAATTAATCTGTGCTGACCGAATTTTTGTTAGGATTCTGCATTCCAAGTAGCAGATTTAAAACGTGCCAGGTGCCTCCAGACCTTTTTGATCTTCTCAGAACTGCTCAGACACTATTATCTACAGTTCTTTACAAGTTCTGGGAATCAGCCCCTATCTGAAGGGGGTTGGTAAGCACTTTCTCCCGTTCTGGGGGCTGTTGCCTTTGCTTTCTGGAAACTTTCTGTTTTCGTGTACCATCTGTTGATAATGGAGTCCTTTCTCTTCGTCACTGTAGCTTCACGGCATAGTTTGAGGTCCGGTGCTGTGACTCCAGCAGTGTTCTCACTCCTCAGGTCTTTCCTGGTTTTATATAAATGATTTTTTTTTCTAGACCTGTAAGATATGACATGGTAATTTGATAACGATTGCATTAATTCTGTATATTAATTTTGGTAGCATAAACATTTTCACAACATTAATTCTGCCGATCCAGGAACATGGAATATTTTTCCATCTTCAGTACCTTCTGTGCTTTTCTTTCTCAATATCTTTCACTGTAGAGACCTTTCGCCTCTTTGGTTACATATATTCCTAAATGCTCAATTTTGGGAGAATTAATTTGAATAGAATATTATTTCCAATTTTTTTATGAGTAGGCTATTAGTATAAATGAAGGCTACTGTTTTATGTATATATTGATTTTTTTTCTCCTACAACTTCATTGTGTTTATTAAGTCCAAGAGTTTTCTAGTAGACTCAATAAGGTCTTTTAACTAAAAATGATGTCATCTGGAAACAGGACTAGTTTGACTTTTTCTCTTCCTGTTACCCCTTTTATGTCTTTCTTTTGTCTGATTGCTGTAGCTAAGATTTGAGCATTATACTGAATAAGAGAGGAGAGTGGATACCTTATCTCCTTCCTGATTTTAGAGGAAATGCTCTCAGTTTGTCTCCATTTAATATAACGCTGGCTACAGGTTTGTTGGACAGAACCTTTACTATTTTGAGGTATGTTCCATCCACTCCTAAAATCTCTGGACTTTTCTCACAAAGGCATGTTGAACTTTGTCAAATGCCTTTTCTGTGTCAATTGAAATAATTACATTGTTTCTGTCCTTTGGTTTGTTTATACGGTGTAGTACATTCATTGATTTATGCTTACTGAACCAACCTTGGCTTTCTGGGATGAAGCCCACTTGGTCATAATGTAAGTTTTCTTTAGTGTGTTCCTGAGTTTGGTTAGTAAGTATTTGGCTAAAAAATTTTGCATCTATGATCATCAAAGAAATTGTTTTGCAGTTGTTTTTATTTGTCTTTACTTGGTTTTGGTATAAAGATGATATTGGCTTCATAGAATGAATTTCTTCACTTTCTATCTTGTGGAATAAGTCTAGAAGAACTGGTGTGAAATCTAAGTGGATAAAGAAGGAGTGAAATCGGCTAATGGACACAAATTATGAATATATATAAATGTAAATATAAAAGGATATAAAGCTAATTGTTTTTCTAGTTCTAATTCTGTCATGGATTTTTTTTTTAATTTGGTGGTGGATACATGCATAAAATACATTCATTACTGAAAGTGTAAAATTTAACGTGAAGCTTCACAGCTTCTGTTTTCGATGCCAATTTTAACTGTCTATAAATTCATTAAGCTCTGTAGACTTTGGCTATGGTTAACTTGGGTGTGTCGTGTTTTATTTGGAAGGTCTTTTTAAATAATAAAGTTTCTTTTTAAAAACTGGAGGAAGTTGGTCATCTCTCTCCTATGAAAGGTCACTTGAGTTCCCTTTCTGGTTGTTAAAAGCCATTGTCTTCCCTATGTTCTTGAAATTAGGATTGTTTTCCTCAGTGATGCGGCAAAGGTTTCTTCACACCAGTGCCACAGGATGGTGGAGGAGTAAGCCACTGTCACCTTTGGGGATGGAAGAGACAGTTGACTAATCTAATGTGAGGCCAGGGAGACTTGGTAAAGAGAAGATCAGGTGAGGGGCAGACTGTGGACCGGGAGCTGTTTGACAAAGTTGTTCTGAGCAAAGTGAAGCCTGACTGAAGCCTGCGGCTCACACCAGGGTCTAAGTGAGTGGATGTTGTGGGGAATCACTGACAACCCACCCACGTACCTCAGCTCTAACTTCCTGGAGCCATTTGGCATTTGAAGACAAGGTTAAGCCTGGACTTATGACCCGAGAAGAGGACTTCTTTGATACCCAACGTGGATCTTGACAGGAAGGGGCATGTGATCAGCAGTAGATAAGTAATGTCACAGAGGACTCAAGGTCACAGGCAACCACAGTGCTACTTATGATGTCTTGCTCTTGCTCTGGAGATGTTCTTCTTGACAATTGCCATTTAAAAGAGAGGGTTCTTGAGACTGAGTAAACCTCATGTGGAATATGCCTCTATTGCATTATTAGTCTATTAGTCCAATAGTCCTATTGACTATTGGATATGAGATATTGAAGTCTCCAACTATTGTTGTAAAACTGTATATTTTTCCCTCTAAATCTGTCAATGCTTATTGTCAGACATTTTGGGACTCTGTTACATATTTAGGAGAGTTAGAGTTTCTTGATGAGTTTACCCTTTTATTAATATGCAATCTCTTTCCTCTCTCTCTCTCTCTTGCTCGCTCACTCATTTTCTCAAAGTCTAGTTTGTCTAGGAATAGGATAGCCACCCAGCTCTCTTTTAGTAACTGTTTTTAAAGGATATCTTTTGGGGGCGTGGAAAGATAGCTCAGTGGTTAGAAGTGCTCACTGTTCTTTCAGGGGAGCAGAGTTCAGTTCCAGCACCCACATTAGGCAGCTCACAAATGCCTGTCACACACACACACACACACACACACACACACACACACACACTCCAGTACTAGGGTTTGAACCCAGTGCTGTGCACATACTAAGTACAGGCTCTACACTGAATTATATGGGCCACATCCCATGTCCCAAAGTCCACCCCCCGATATTGGGATTGAACCCAGACTCCACACATGCTAGGCAAGTGTGCTACTTCTGTAACTATACCTCAGGCCCTCAAGAATATGTTTTCCATTCTTTTACTTCCAATTTGTATCTTTGGATATTAAGTGACTCTCTTGTGGAGCTGCATATAGTTGGAAAAAGAGACTCCATGTCTTAACAAAAATCAACTTAAATAATTCTTAATTGTTCAGTGATCTCTTGATAAGTTTCTTTTTTTAGGATGTGTGTGCTGTGGGATGGTCTGTATGTCAAATGCTCTGATTGGTCAATAAATAAAACACTGATTGGCCAGTGGCCAGGCAGGAAGTATAGGCGGGACTAACAGAGAGGAGAATTGAGAGAACAGGAAGGTGGGAGGAGACACTGCCAGCCGCCGCCATGACAAGAAGCATGTGAAGATGCCGGTAAGCCACGAGCCATGTGGCAAGGCATAGATTTATAGAAATGGATTAATTTAAGATGTAAGAACTAGATAGCTAGAAGCCTGAGACATTAGGGCAAACAGTTTAAACAATGTAAGTCTCTATGTGTTTACTCAGTTGGGTCAAAGTGGCTGTGGGACTGGCGGGTGAGAGAGATTTGTCCTGACTGTGGACCAGGCAGGACTGGAGAAAACTCCAGCTACATGTGTGTGTGTGTCTGTAAGTGGGTGTGTCTGTGTGTGTGTCTCTGGGTCTGTGCTTGTACGTGTCTGAATGTGTCTGTGTGTTGCTGGTGAAGCCCATGCATGCTATACAAGAACTCTACTGCTGAGACGCTCTCTAAGCTCTTCCTGCTTATTCTAAAATAACTAATAAGCAGACATTTATCGAGAACCCACCAGACACGAAGCAGTATACTAGGTAGTGTACACAGAGCCGTGAACCCTGACCGTTTGCACCCCCAGACCCTGCCTGGGGACAACACACATGCATGAAGGCCTGAGAACTGTGTTCCAGCACATACGGTTCAGAGCGGTCTCTGTGGTGCTGGTTATGGGAGGATGGAGCAGAGAGCCCGTGGTGAGGGATGCAGCAGTCAGAGGCAGGTATAGATGGCAGGCAGGCTGTGGGGTGGGTCTGAGGGTGGGTAAGAGTGTGACTGGAGAAGAAGGGACATCCCAACCAGGAGGATTATCCTGGGGGCAAGGTGTGGAAGCAGAAAGAAGCACACTGAGTTGAAGGATCTGTGATGAGCAGAAGGTGACCGTGTCTGAGGGACCGACTCACTGTTTTATAACATGTAGCCTCATTGACTGGTCTTTTATGGGATGACTTCAGTCTAAGCAACAATTCACTCTGTAAAATCCACAGAGATTTTTTCCCCCTTCAGGAGTGAGAATCAGATATCTCATAGTGGTGGGCTTGTGCTTGTGATGAAGCCAATTTAGATCAGATTTCCAGGGTCCCCACTTGTATTACCACATAGCGAGGCTTCAGCTACATCTGTGGAGGAAAGACCAGATGGATGAGGAGTATTGAGTGGAGTCATGGGCTCTTGTCCTAAAACCTTGCGGAGAGCTTTGTTTTCCAAATATGTCTGTGTGAAGAACGCACCATCTTGTTTTTATGTCAACAAGACATCTGTGGATAAATGGACCCACCGATTGTCCCTGCTGACAAGGATCCCAGGGTAGAGAAGAGCCCTAAAGGCCACTGAGGGCCAGTTTATCTCAATCTTCAATCCAGAAAGTGGGGTTCCCTGTCTAAACAGGCCCATGGGAATCAGCGTTTCCCTTGAGAAACGGTTTTCTAAATGCCTGCTTCCATCCTCTCTCTCTCTCTCTCTCTCTCTCTCTCTCTCTCTCTCTCTCTCTCCATATATATATATTCTGAGACAGCGTTTCTCTGTGTAATAGTCCTGGCTGTCCTGGAATTCACTTTGTAGACCAGGCTGGACTCCAACTCACAGAGATGCATGCCTCTGTCTCCCAATTAAAGGCGTGTGCCACCACTGCCTGGCTACTCTTTTATTGAAAACCCTACCCACAGGTAAGGACATAGGCATGTATTGATTTTTGTCTCAAATGGATTTTGACATTACTTTTTAAGACTATACGCCCTGGGAAGGCAGCTCAGTTGTTTTGACACCTGCCTAGCATTCGAAAGGCCCTAGATTTAATCCCCAAGGTTGAAAAAATAAAAAAAAACCAAAAAACCAGAAGTAGCTAAATACAGTCAAGCAGCTACTGTCACTCAAACCTCTAACCTACAGTACTTGGGAGGTTGAAGCAGGAAGAGTTTGAGGGAGGTTTAGGCGACGCAGTAAGTTCCAGGTCAGCAGGGAACACAGAGCAAAACCCTATCTTAAAAAAAAATTTTAAGAAGACTATAATAATGCCTTTAATGAATTGCTAACTTTGAATGATTAAAAGCTTAGGAAAGCAAAAAGAAGAAAATACAAATCCCTCCAGATTCCGGGTCTCCTCTCCACCATTGTACATTGTAACTATTCTTCTGTCTCGTCTGGCCCCCTCTGTCTGCCATTGTCCATCATTTCCCCTTCGTTGTTGTCATTCTTGAATAGGAGATGTCCCCCATAGACTCGCTCACAAACTGGACACTTGGTTCCGAGCTGCTGGCCACCCTTTCGGGAAGTTCTAAGACCGCCAGGGGAGCCAGCTGGAGGAAGTGAGTCACTGGGGTGTGTTTTAGGGGTTTGATTCTCTTTCCCTTCTACTCAGCTCTTCTCCACGGGCGGGCCTCCATTGCCATGGGTTCCCGCCACCACGTCGTCTAAGTGTGCGAGGCCGAAGCCTCTGAAACTTTGGGTTAAAAATAACCCTTTCCGCTTTCAAGTAACTTGCTCATGTTTCTTGTCAAAGCAACAAAGAAAGTCACTAAATAGGCTCTCAACCAAATCTGTCCACATACACATGAATTTCACTGGATTAAACCCAGGCGATACTTTCCATGCTACTTGAAACTTACCTTTAATTTAATACAGGCTGTGCAAATATGTTTCAAATAGTTCTAGTCAAATGTATTTGCTGGATATCTCCTGCACACTGAGCACAGTTTAAGGTATCTGGAGTTGTGTGGGTCAGTGAGCACAGAGCTTACATAGCTTTTTAGTTTTCTCACTTTCGCAATGTTTATCTAAACTTGTATCACTGTTTTGTCCAGTGTCCTCCCAAACGAGGTTTTAGCTGAGTTTCATCGACAGATCTGTGGCAGGATATTTGATCACACCATGTGAAGATGTGTCTGTTTTACCTCAGCTGCCTAAGACACCTTCTGATTGGTTTAATAAAGAGCTGAATGGCCAATAGCTAGGCAGGAGAGGCTATGTGGGACCTCTGGAAAGAATCTGAGAGGTGAGAGATTCACCAGCGAGACTCTGAGGAAGTTGGACGTACGGTACTGAGGAGAGGTAACGAGCTGTGTGGCAGAATGTAGATTAATATAAATGGTTTAATTTAAGTTTTAAGAGCTAGTTGGGAACAAGCCTGAGCTAAGGCCAAGCTTTCATAATTAATAAGAAGTCTCCATGTCATTATGTGGGAGCTGACAGTCCAAAAACAGACTGGGTACATAGATCCTGTGAGATTCTTTGCCCTTCCTTTCCCTCTGTCCTTTTGCCTGTCTCCTTTTCCATTAAAATAGCAGTGAATATTTGGATTTGGCTTTTAAAAATTATTATTACTGTTGTATGTGTATGTAATGTTATTATTATTACTGTTGTATGTGTGTGCAATTCTATTATTATTATTACTGCTGTATGT